GTTGATGAGATAACTAAAGCAATTAAACAATTAAAAAAAAGAAATCTCCCGGTGATGACAGAATCACCAATGAAATGATTATATATGGGCAATCTGCCATAGTTAAACCAATTATGAAACTTTTTAATACCATTATAACACTTAAACAATTTCCAGATAGTTGGCGTACAAGTTGCATTAAATCATTGCACAAATCGGGTGATAAAAATATTCCGAATAATTATTGAGGGATATAAGCCCTCTCAAGTTGTCTGGCTAAGCTGTTTACATCTGTACTCAATAATAGACTTCATAACTATGTTGAGTGCAATAAGATCTTAAACCCATGCCAGGCTGGTTTCAGACCAGGTTGTAGAACAACAAATAACTTACTTATTCTAAAAACAATTATAGATAAATACATCAATAATAATGAAACGCACAAGAAAATAAAAAAGTTGATTTTAAAAAAGCATTTGACAGTGTCTGGTGTAAAGGGATGTATTATAAATTATTAAGAAACAATATCAATGGCAATTTCTATCATGTAATCAAAAGCATGTATGAAGATGTAAACTACAGTATAAAATTAAAAGGAGGATTAACTAGACCTTTTAAGTCACTCAGGGGTGTAAAACAAGGATGTAACATCAGTCCCACCCTATTTAATCTTTTTTTAAATGATTTACCCCATATGTTAGATAAATCATGTAATCCAGTAAAGTTGGGAAAGAAAGAACTAAACTGTTTACTGTATGCAGATGATTTAGTGTTAGTATTTAGAAACTGAGGAGGGATTACAACAATGTTTTAATAAATTAAATGTATATTCCAATGAATGGAATTTAGACGTAAACACTGCCAAAACAAAAATAATGATATTTAATAAAAATGCCAGATTGTTATATAGTAATTACAATTTTTATTACAATAATGAAGAAATAGATATAGTTAGAAATTACAAATATCTAGGCCTGGAATTCGAATTTAAACCAAGTGGGAAGTTTGATTTAGCAAAGGTAAATTTGTACAAAAAAGCTGTTAAAGCATTCTTCTATATTAGAAAAAATTATTACCACATCTACTAACATTAATGTGAACACATGGATCAATAATTTTGACCATGTCATTAGACCAATACTAACATAT